ATCTACATAGTAAGACTAACAAGCACATGACTTAATGCCTAATGTCAGTCTACAAACCATATTCTCATATTACACATAATTTGGATTAAACACCAACACACAAGGTTTGCTTTAATGCCTTTATTGATTCGAGGAGTGTTTCAATATTAAGAGATTAAGGTTGAGAACGTTTTGTAAAGAAGTCCAGAAACTTTCAAATGTAGTACAAAGTAACTGCGGAGCAGGATGACTGCGCATGATCTCACAGCTCTTTTGCACAAACATAGCCCATTGAGGTTGAACAGCTTGCATCATTCCAGCAACGGTTAGCTGTAGGGCGGAAAAATGAAATTAGTTATTCTGATCATTACAGTAGTGTTAGAAAATGAGCCAATTTATGTAATTTGTGAAACTTTAGGATGGTAAATATTTGAAAGTAATAAACACTACACTGCATTCTTACAGCTCCAGTTGATCTCTCCACAGTTCTCGACATTTAGATTGTTAGGTTCATTAGAGCACCAGTTGGTGTAGTCATATGCAGTTCCATCACTCCACAACCACTGTCCTTCCTAACGAGCAAAGACAGTGATTAAAAGCGTACTCTTCTGTACTCAGACACCATAAATGTCATTTAGTTTGGCTTTGAAGTCAAACCATCTTCATTTGTAACATTTCTGTCTCGACAAACATAAGTCTCTTTAGGCCACACAACTTACTTGTACACCATCATGAACACCAAGCCAACATCGTGTAGTAGAAGGCAACAGACTCATCAGAAAATTGTTTTCCAGTTCATCGTGCACGGATGCGAGATTTGCATGCTGATCTATACAGTGCCTCTAAAAGACACATTTAAAAAAAAAAATAAATAAAAATACGCAAAAACTTTTACTTGGTCTTTCCCAAAAAAAGTCAATTACATTTTTAGTCATTTTCAAACAAAATCTGCTGTGATGGATTAGTTGCTCAGTATAGTTCTCTAAAAAGAAATTAAAGGAAGTTTCTTTAAAAATAATACATTTGCCTTGTTGTAACGAACACTTTACCTCTGCTGTGATCCAGTCAGCCGACTGAGAGAAAAACTTGTAGCATTGGACTCCAAAATTTGTCCATCCATAGTGGCATTGTTTATCTAGAACAACTGTATCCAGTAGGCCTTCATATGTTAGTCTTGTAATATTCACATTACTCGTATTATGCAAGCTCTAGTCAACAAAATACTGTATATTTCTGAATACCAAAGTATTCGCAAAACAATCTTTTAAAGTTGAATAATGAGGGTTTACACAAATAAATGTCTTGTTTACCATCTGCATTTCCCATGGAGAACAAGATGAACAGAACCAGCAGACTTCTCAGCATCGCCATGAACTTGAAAAATAAGAAGCAGCAAAAGTGAATTGTCTGCACTCATATACTGCGCACGTTGTATTCTCAATGTGTTTTTAAAGACCAAGTTATTCAGTAGGTCTCTGTGCCAAAAACTCACCTTGGTTTTCAGACCGTTGCCGTCAGAATCTCAGAGGAAGATTTTGTGGAGTTCCAGAAAGAGCCCTGCTTTTATGCTTTACTTGATATCAAGTGTGTATAAGTCACCAGGACAACACTGTTACATGTCTGTGGTTTTCTTGTTCCTTTGACCTAGTTTTCATTAGTTGCCCTGATTATGTCATTCAGTTCACCTGTGTTCGATTTATCAAGTCATTAGTCCCTCGTTTGCGCTAGTATTAGGCTCGTTTGAGGTGATCACCGCGAGATGCATGCCGGTTAGAAAAGTGTCAGAGTTACGTCCGACTTGCTCCGATGTCACGCTGATGTGTGCCAAAAAGCTCTCGCAACGGCGAGGCGGCTGTGTCGGATTGCGCAGTCGAGCGCAGTTGCTCTCCACCGACTGCGCTGATCAAAAGCATGATGGGAAACGACTGACTGATGACACATCTTAATGCTCATTGGTTCAGACAACTGTGATGCTGCGTTCTCTTCTGAAATATATTTTTTTTTTATCTGGTTCCATGTGATTATGTATTGTATATGATATATTGTGTATGTATATGCATATTCCCAAACACTATGACAGTGCGATCTCTGTGTGAGATATGTGAATCTAAAATACATGTTTGTATTAAAGTAAAAATGGATGATAAATACGGCTTTCGTATGGAATTAAATAGCAAGCACTTTGAGTGTCTTGTTCATCATATTTATTTTCATATAAAAACAACAGAACTGAAATCATATCATGTTTATTAACAACAGCACGTGAGTGTAAATAACACGATATCTGCCTTAGAGCTCGTTGGTATCTGTTCCACTTCCGAGAGGTCAGAACTGTCCGTCTTGACTGCGCTTATTTCACACCTCCACTCACTGCAGCCGCCTACTCTCGCCTACATTTCAGGCGCATGTCAAACAAGCCTATTCTTATAGTCCTACTAATATGAGGCAGCTGTGAACTGGTAATGAGAGTGATGAGTCTGGGCAAAGGATTGTGGGAAATGGAGTCCTGGGTGAATGATAAAAGTCAGGGATGGAGTGCATTCTGGTGGAGCTCATGGACACTGCAGTGGGTGATCGTGACAGTAGTAATAATAACAATGGACAGGACAATGGGTCGCATCAATTTAAAAAGAAAAAAAAAACAAGGGTCACTCTTCTGGGTCACCACTGTCACCACTGTTCTAGACCACGGTAACTGGGACTTGTGCTTTTAGGAGGCACATTTTAACATTTATCTTAAAAGGATAGTTCACCTAAAAATGAAAATTGTCATCATTTACTCACCCTCATGTCATTCAAATCCTTTATGATTTTCTTCTGTTGAACATAAAAGATCATATTTTCAGAAATGGCACTTTTTTTCCTCCATACAATGGAAGTCAATCGGCACCAAAGCTGTTTGGTTACCAACATTCTTCAAAATATCTTTGATTTTTAAAAGAAAAAAAGAAAGTCATATAGTTTTGGAATGACATGAGGGTGGGTAAATGATGACAGAATTGTAATTTTTGGGTGCACCATCTTTTTGAAACTATTTTCAGGATTATTGGAAGTCATTTTTACTGGGTGATATATCATACTGCAATCTCTACACTTGAACTAAAATGAATTAAAGTTCATTTATTTATTTGACAAGTAATCTTGTACTGTATGAGCAGTGATGACATAACACATGTAATATCTAGGCATTTTTCTGCGTCTAGACTTCACACATACTATATACCAAAACTAATTGATAACAATGATAAACAATCTTCTGCATAATCTGACAGATGGGCCTAACACAAATCAACTGAGGAAAATTAATTAAGCTATCTGTAGTATTATAATGAATGCTTAGTTTATAAAATACTTCGAGGTAATTCACCTAAGTATGGTGACGGCGTTCCATCAAGAAGCTACTATCACTATCTCAAACAACACATGAGAATCAGATCTTTAGCATCTATACACTCTCACCGCCCTTCTCAGGTGTATGCTGGTCCGACACAGGATCATTAATACTAACTCAGAGTATTACAGCCTCACCCCTAGTGCGGGTCTATAGTCTTCCAACACTATCACTGTCTCTGTTGTGGTCCTCTGCAGTGGTTTAGTCTACGTGATACGTAGGTATACGCCGTATACCCACTAGGAAAGGTGAAGAATTTCCATATACCCACTTAAAAAAGCGTGAGGATGCATAACAACATCATTTTGTAACAGTTTGTTTTATAACTACCTGAATTAATCATGAATTATAGTAGGAATACCTGTTTAATAAAGCATTTATTAACACTATTACTATATGTCTAAATGATAAGATATATAAATGTACATTTAAATAGTAATATTAATAATTTACTTACACATTCTAAATGATCTTATGAACCACTGTCAACTCCTAAATAACGGGTTTATAAATAATGTAATACTTAATTTAGAAATGATAAACTGATCATTATTAAAGTACGAAACTATAATTATTAAACACATTATAGATATGCTTATAAATCAAGAATAATACATTTATAACTGTACTTATAAACTGCTTACTAATGTTTATTAATGTAGGGATAATGCTTTATAAATGATGAATTCATTGTTTACTAATGCTTAACTAATCCCTAGCGTGCAGTTATTATAAAGTGTTACCGGTTTTGGTGGTGGCATTTAATTATTTTTAATTAATATATTATGAAAATAATTTATGGATTAATTATAAAAATTGTTCAGCCCTAGTATTCATTCTATCACTTATATATACAGTATAATTCCCTTCTCTTTGACTTTTTTGTGCAATGCCTTCTTTCATTGTCTTCTCTCCTTTACTACACTATATTTTTGTAACAGGTAATCTCAAAAACAGCCGTCGTTCCTCTTACTTGCTGGCCATTACCACAGAGCGCTCCAAGTCATGTGACGAGGGTCTGAACACCTTCAGGGAGGAGGGCCGTGTTTTCTTGTGAGTGTTACAGGTGTCACAGGACAGTGGAAAGTATCACAACTTCTTTGTGACAACCACTGCACATAATATGCTGTTTGATGTGATGTTATTTTAGTGCTGCATGTGTTTGTGGGCACATTCTCAATTTCTACTAGTTACATTATTTGTAACTAAAGTTATATTATTTGAAATGCAAATTACTGAATTAAGTTTTGTAAAGTGTTTTAATGCAACAATTTAGATTTGATTGAGATTAATTTGGGTATAATTCAGTTCTAGGATATTTTGCCCCATTCCTGCATGAAGGTATTAATTTTACTCTCCTTTTTTTTTTTTTCTTCAGGAGACTACCAAAACGTGTCAAAAGCTTTTTCGCAGATGGCGTAAGTACTTCTTTCTGTCCAACCAACCTCAATTACAGTAAATCTTCATTGACTAAGAGTCTGTTCAATAGTGATGTTTTTTTTTTCAGTCTCTAGAGAATCTTCGAGCAGCAGAGAAAGCTCGCTCAACCTCTGAACAGGGGAACATCACTCTGACTGACATTAGGAAAGAAGGCTGGCTGCACTATAAACAGATTCTCACTAATAAGGGAAAGGTCTGACAGTAGTTCATGAATCTGTATAATTACACATGTAATTACTTTTCAGACAGCACTTCTGTGGGCTATCCTGAGACCTCTGTGTTTATGTATCGTATTCAGAAAGTGGGCGGAGGCATGTGGCCTTGGAAACGAGTCTTCTCTGTGCTGCGCTCCCATTCACTTTACCACTACAAGGATAAGCAGGAGGCAATACTTCACGCAGCTGGGGCAGGAAATCACGGTAACGGACAAGGAGAGGACGAGCAGCCAATCAGCATTCGAGGCTGCTTGATTGACATTGCATACAGCGAGACAAAGCGTAAACACACCTTGAGGCTGACGACGCAGGACTTCTGTGAGTACCTGCTTCAGGCGGAGGACAGGGATGACATGCTGGACTGGATCAGAGTCATCAGAGAGAACAGCAAGACTGACAATGAGGTTTGTTGAGGGGAAAAAAGCTATTTCGTAAACAAATAATTATTAGAAAACAAGCCACTAATAGTAACAAAAAGCAGCATAATAAAAAAAGTTGAAAATGCAACCACATGATTTATTCATGCCACAGTACATGCTAGGAAACTAAGTGTCAACCTAATACCATGGTCATCAAAGTGTTAACTAATGAAGAGATAACTGTAATGCAGACACAGATTAACTTTTTGATCTACATCATAGTCATTTTCTGCTGCTGTTCACTGTGAAGTCACAGTAAACTTAATTTAATTTAAATAAACTGTAGAATTATGACTGTAAAAAAATGCTATGAAAGTAGATAGGAATGTACTGTAAATTCAAACAAAAGTATTTGACACCTCATCTTTATTGCTTTTAAATAGGAACTGGGCTTCTCCAGACAGGCTCTCATCAATAAGAAGCTGAATGACTATAGAAAACAGAGGTGATATCTCTTGCCTACTTGATGGTACTTATGGAATGGTGAGTGTTGTAGTCTTATCTCTTCCATTTTGCAGTCCAACAGGCAACAAGCCAGATACTTCTCCAAGTATCCATCGGATGATGCCACCTTTCCTCCTCTCTAAAGCTGAAAACATGTCAGGAGTGAACCGATCCCCAGGGAAAGGTGAACTCTCGGAACCATGACAAACAGGCTTATACACTATAACCCCGCCCCTTTATCCACTCTCTGCTTTGCATTTGCATCTTTCAGATCTGTGTATCTTCTCTTTCTCCAACTAACAGATGAGAGTACTAAGGCTTCATGGGGCATTAACATATTGAGAAAGGGAAAGAAAACTGGTCCAAAATCTTTTGGGGTAAGGCTGGAGGACTGCCCGCCTGCTGCCAATAATAAGGTCAGTAAGCTTTGTGAACCAGTGCTAGTTTTTATTAACTGTATTATTGTTTAAGCATACTTTAAGTCTCGGCTTATTTTTTATTTTTTTTGGCTTATTTAGGTGATTTAGGTTTGAGTCTGGCATGCATGTGTCCTAATCTCATTTCCCTTTTGTCTGCCCAAAAATTTTCTACATTATGCTTCAAAATAAAACAAATAACATTTAAAAGGTAAAGGTAAGGTATTGGGAACTATTAAATAAAGTGCTATTGAGACAAAAAATTTAATAAAATAAAAATAAAAGAAAATAAAGGAAAGAATGATATAGTTATCTTTTATCATGTGCTTTTGTGTTTAGTTTGTCCCACAGATTGTAGAGACTTGTTGTCATCTGGTGGAGGAGATGGGTTTGGAATATACTGGCATCTACAGAGTGCCAGCGAACAGTGCCATCGTGTCTTCCCTTCAGGACCAGCTGAACAAGGGCATGGATATAGACACTACTGAGGAGGTGAAGAGGGAGCGTGACAAAGACAGATAGCAAATCTGCAGGTATAAATCAGAACAGTAATGACATTGTTTGTTTACAGAAATGGCAAGACCTGAATGTCATCAGCAGTCTTCTGAAGTCCTTCTTCAGGAAACTCCCAGAGCCCCTTTTTACAGATGGTATATTCAGCTCAACTTCCTCTTAAATTCATTCACACAAAGCCTTTGCATGGGTGTCAGAATGAGTGTATGTTCCATCCATTTTCAAACAAAGCTCACTGCTGCACTCTACTTGTAGATAAATATAATGACTTCATTGACGCTAACCGTTTAGAAGATGCAGGGGACCGCTTGAAGACCATAAATAAACTTGTATGTACCATCAGTTTATTCATTCAATTTCAGCTAATTTATATTTGCAGTTGCTTATCAAAGTTTTGTGCTGTCTATGTTGTTCTTTTAGATACGTGACCTGCCGGATCACTACTACCACACACTGAAGTTTTTAACTGGTCACCTGAAAACAGTTGCAGACCATTCAGAGAAGAATAAGGTTCAGGCTGTACTAGACATATTTTGCCAATCACAATAAATGAGTGTTTCTTCAACTGTGGGCACTTTTAGTGCTGTAGACTTAATAAGATAGACTTAATAGACTTACGTCCAGCAGTATATATACACCACTGTTCAAAATGTTGAGGTTGGTACAATGTTTTTGAAAGAAGTCTCTTTTGCTTACCAAGGCTGCGTTTATTTGATCAAAAATACAGTACAAGCAGTATCATAGTGGAATATTATTACAATTTAAAATAACTATTTTCTATTTTAATGTATCTTAAAATGGAAATTATTCCTGTGATGGCAAACATTAATTTTCAGTAGCCATTACTCCAGTCTTTAGTTTCTTATAATCCTTCAGAAATCATTCTAATATGCTCTATATATGTAAAAAAAAAAAAAAAAAATATGTTTATCACTGTGGGAAACAGTTGTGTTGCTTAATACATTTATAGAAGCTGTGATACATTTATATGAAAAGTTCAAAAGAACAGCTTTTATATGAAATATAAATCTTTTGTAACACTATTAATGTCGTTACTGCCACTTTTGATTGATGTAAAAAAAAATACTTACTGACCACAAAGTTTTGAATGGTAGTGTGCACACAGGAAAATTCTGTCATTTTTGGCATTATTCTATGAAAGTCATGAAAAATTTCCTCCACTGTGTCACTTCCAGCACAGCTGAAAAAAATTGTTTAATAGTGTTCTGAGGTGGAAATGATGGTGGAAGTGACATCTTTTTCTAATGCTAATTTTACAGCTCACATTTTTATGTTTCCTAAATACACACATTGAAATATACTGTATTTTTACACTGCAAAATCTGACAAAACTACAGTGTAAAATTTACCTCAAGTTTTCTTTTTCTTCATTTATCATTCATTATCCCAAGCATGTTCCTTACTGACACCATTGACAGACTGAACATATTGAAAGAATAATATTACTAAATAAACTAAATATTAACAACAAAAGCAAAATAATAGAGTAAAGCAATAAGATCTATACATAAGGTAATTGAATATAAATGAAATCATGTTAAATGCTTCAGGATCTTTTTAATGTCATCATCATATAACTAAAAGGAAAGGAAGGTGAAATTTGTTTGTTTTTAATAAAAATCAATGCCTGAGACATAAAAGTGCATGAAGTTAAGGAAACCATACATTCAGGAGTAATAATAAAACTGATAAAACTGACAAAAGTTGACTCTCCTTGCTCTCCAGATGGAGCCTAGAAATCTGACCCTGGTGTTTGGCCCCACACTGGTGCGGACCTCAGAAGACAACATGATCGACATGGTCACTCACATGCCAGACCGCTACAAGATCACAGAGACTCTCATTTTGCATGTATGTCCTTTCCAGATTTTTACTCTTCTGTCTCCTATAAAGATAAAAAAGATCAGTCATGACTTTTGCGCTTTTAAAGTGGTCATGAAATGCAGTTTCAGATTAAGAAATTTCTTGAGATTAATTTATAAAGTTTGCAAAGTTTTTTGTACCAAAAATGGTCCAATATTTGCACAAAAAAAAAATTCATCCTCATTTTCACTCTCTGTGTAAAACATTTAATTTCAAAGGGGCATTACCTCTTGCAGAAACTGAAGTAAATGCCCACTGCTGTGGCTAACTTCATCACACCTTTACACCTTTACGCCTCCTTTACAGCATGTTCAGTGTCTGCTACTCGAGATGGCAAACACTGTGATAGAGCTGTATATGTACTAGCACAAGTCAGATCCTGAGGCAGAAAAAAACTGAAACAACACAACCACCAAAGTCCCGTTAAGTAATTTCACTCGGTGGCCATTTTTGAAACACCTCTCGGGCATGCAAATGCAGCTCCTATTTCTATGAATGGGGAAACATCAAATTCTCCAAAACTGTTCGCCAAGCTTACGATTAAATTTCAGATTTTAAATCACCAATGAAATCTGACAACAACTGTCTCATAAATGTTGTTTCTTATGCTCCAATAGCGTTAAAAAAGCTTATTTTTCAGGCTAGATCAGCCAATCCGCATGTGCAGTCCTAAGCGTGAGCCTCAGAAAGCTGACCGGGACTTCTAACGGCAGCTGCAGAGCCACGATGACTTTACTGATTTAATTAATTTTATGCAGTAATAAACATGTAAACACTGCAAAATGTTTTGCCACAAACTCAACTGAGAGGCAAGTAGTTCCACAAAAATTATAAATAGTATAAATAAAAATAAATAATAAACAACACAAATATCCCTTTAAAGTGGAAGTGAAGCAGTCAGTCAAGTTTACATTATTTAGTAAACTGATTTCCACTTTAATAGAAAAATATATAATAAACACGATTTTAATATATCCGTTTAAAAGGATAAAGCAGTGGTTCCCAAACTGGGGGGGCGTGGCAAGGCTGAGGGATAGTGTACAGTCAGCAGATTATTTTGCAAAAGAAACCTCTGCAGGGTGATAAAGACTACACTGTGTAATTTTTCCGCTTATCATGTGGCCACTTGCCTGATAAGTAAATAATTGAACGCAAAATATTAATATGACATATTTTAATGACCTCAACATGACTAGCAGTACCCGCTTGAGCACTGCGTTATCAGTTGTAGCAGTTGTGGTTGTGTCAATAACAGACCACTAGATGGCGCGACTGAAGTCAAGTCAAGTCACCTTTATTTATGTAGCGCTTTTAACAATACAGATTGTGTCAAAGCAACTGTACAGCATTAATTAGGAAAATAGTGTGTCAATAATGCAAAATCAGAGTTGTATTGCAGGGAGCCACGTAGAAATATAAATGAATGATGCATGGTTCTGCTCTAAGCATGTAAGTTACAAGTTTGTGAAAATACTGCCAGTGCCAGGTACTTAAATCAGATGATGAATATACATAAGATTCACAAATACCAAAATGACGTGTCTCTCACATATGATGTCTGAGTTGCAGCTTTTTGCATGCATGCGCACAGAAACAGTCTATCACAGCACGTGAGTACCGCACTGAAATCTCTTTTGCGTACATGAATACATATTGTATTTGCAGGTGAACATAAAATATCTTACATACCACTGGTGAACGATCCAGTGTAATGCAAATATGTCTGAAAGGTCTGACATATGCCAATAGCGCGAGGATATCGTCACGTTCTCGCGAGATCCATCGTCACGTTCTTGCGAGATCCATCGGACACATCGGATCTCGCGAGATCTCGTGCCACAAGATCTCGTCACACCCCTACTGATTAGTGATTGGTATATTTTACTCAGAAGGCGGGGCTTCCTTCGATAGAGCGGCCATATTGAGCATTGCATTTTTCCCCATTCAAACCTATATGTGTGACACATCTTGGGTATTCTATTCATTCGGACCATGTGACGTCACAGTGCATTATCGCCGCCATGTTTGTGTCCAAGTCACACTGCACGACCTGTTTCAGTCTATGGTCACAGCAGCCACAACTACCAGAAGATCAATGAAACACTCCCGGAAGGTTCCTAACAAGATTACAATATGCTCGGGATATGTTGTGCTGTTAGCTGTATAACAGTTGTCAGAGAAACAATGGCAACAAACGCCAACAAAGGTAACACACTGACCCAACAAACTCCGACAGACTTGACATCTTTATCCAACAGCAGTATTGCTCTTGTGCAGGGCCGGTCCAAGCCTTTATGGGGCCCTAAGCAGAATTTTATTTGGGGGGCCCTCGGTACCGCCAACCCAGAAAAATGTGTGACTGTTACGTAACTGCAACGTAATCTGGTGACCAAAGTTACGATGTGGCTATGTAACTAGTTGCGTCGTGGCAACCAGAAAAGTGACATTTCCATTTTCGTCGTCACAACGTAATTTTGTGACGTTGCCAGGTAGTAACTGTGATGTTGTGGCAACGTCGTGGATCAATAGTTGTGTGCTGGTAATCAGTTGGTAATTTTTATAATTATTTATTTTCTATGGGCGGACATTTGCCCAAACTAATTTAAATGTTGTTTCAACAGCTGTGAATTATGAATACAGACACAAAATGAATTCAGTTCATTTATCTTCAAAAACACACATATGAAAATTAAAATACACCCAAATTATGAATAAAAACATAGGAAATACAGCGAAATATGAATGAAAGCATTCAGGACGTTCCGTGCTCAGCATCATTATAAACAGATATGCTATGCTAGCATAACATTTGCTAACAGACATTTCAGATAATTAAGGAAAGATACCATAATCACAGAGGTATAAATATTAACAAAAAGTAAAAGTAGACTGTGGGTAATGTTACTTAACCAATCTGACAAAGTTGTTGAACTTTTTTGATATAACTGACGAGAAACAGAGATAAATGTCAGGCGTGTCCTCTCCAGCAGCTTGTGTGTTCCCGGTTGCCATGGTAACTCTCAACGGCCAAAGTACTATACAATACATAACAACAACAATAAAAATGGGGTTTTAGCGTCTGTCCAGAGTTTTTTTCCCCCAAACAATTTTATGAACCTATTTATTTGTTATAAATTGTAAGACTCAACTCAGAAAAAAACAATTCTTCTGTCAGACACAGTTGAAGTAAAAATGTGCCTCAGACAAACGCGCTGTCCTGATTCAGTATTTGCGGTGGATGACATGGTGTAGCCAGGTCCGTGTCATTATTTCAACGTTATCTTCATAACTCGTTATGAAATAAAAAAGTTTCTTGACTCAGAAAAATACATTTTCCTTTCCTGTCAACATTATACGGTTGCACACGGTGTCATCACATCACTATATATCAGTGGCGGGCCGTGCATTTTACACCTAGGCCTTCAGTGGCGTCCTACATGAATTAATCCATCTCTTTATACCATCATAATGATGCCACGGCTATAGAAACCATAAATATTACACAGTAATGCAGTATAACAGGGCACTACATAACAGACAGGCTGTTTTTAGATTTACTAAATATAGTAGGCAAATATTTTTTCAAAATGCACTGAAAATCTAAACCTGAGAAACAGTAATAAAAGTTTTACTAAGTTTTAATAAAATGATTTACAGTGATGCTGTTTGCTTGCTAGTACGCTGACCATCCAATGAAAGGACGAGAAAATGCTGACGTTATCGTTGGTGCTGCCAACTCGAAATCTGATTGGTTAAAGCAACAGTTTCATTGCCATTGATTTAAGCTAACAGACGCCTGCAATGTTGATTCTGAAGGCCTTAAGGCAGATTTCTTTGACCCTGGCAACACGATTGCTGAAATATGATTGGATAAAAGCTCTAATATAAACATACACTGCTGGAAGCAGTGCAACCAAGAGAAAGGCTATGAAATGAAGAGAATAGACTATTGGAAATAATTTAATACACATTCATGGAAAAATATATTAAACTAAATCAGTGATTCTGATAGTGTTTAGGCCAGCAGAGAAGGCTTTGCTGGCCCTGACGGCCCACCACTGCTATATATCCATGTTCTGACTTGATGAAAAGAAACCCATTATCTTAAGGGAAATTTAAATCTTGTGTCTAATTATTACACATTTCAAATAGTAATTTTTGGTAATAAGAGCATATAAAGAATGTGTAAATGATAGTAATGAATGAATGATGGTAATCTTACAACGTAATGAGGACGTATCTGACGACGTTGTGTGTTGGTAATTTGATGGTAATGAAATTACGGACATGCGACGTCGTTGTTACATTGTCAATTGGTAATTCATGAAATTACCAAAAAGTATACATTACGTAACTGTTACATCGTGTGTTAGCAGGGAATATGACTGATTATTGTCAATGCTTGATTATTCGCACACTAAATCTAACACACCCATTATCAATTTTGTTTATTAGCCATATTGCTTGCAGCATACCAATATCTGGTCTGGCATGTTTTTACCCTTCTACGTGTAATACACTCAAAATTTAGGAAAATCATATATTAAGATTTTTCATTGTTCGTGTGTATTTTATTTTCAAACACATTTTCGGTGCGTTCCAAACGGGATATATCGCCCTCCGAAGGGCACTTCGGAGTGAAAACAATCATGGCCACCATATTGACGGGTCGTTCCAAACCGAAGTGCTCAAAACTGGCCACTTCAAAGGGACCTTCGGAATGAAGGATTTCGAAGGGTACAACTGATGGACACTTCAGGCCCCCATGATCCTTTGCACAGGGAACTTGTTTGGCATCACAGGGTTCGACTTCACCGATAAATGTATGCATAGTATTTTTCTATACTACTGTAATATTTATACGAGTTAGATTTAGTACATTATTATGGTCAAAACAACATTGTACTTCAACAAAAATACTTTACAGCTACCTTTGTCAGTCCATTCAAATGTTTCAAATACATAGACACAATATACATTACAAATACATATTACATTACATACACAAATATAGATTATATTTAATGTAAAAGACAATTGGGGGTCAACCAGTGTACAAAATGTGCAACGAAGGCGCCTCCTTGATCGTCTCGTTAAGGTGATGCAGAAGTGCATTCCAAAAAAAGATATTTGTGGACCCCTATACCCAGGGCTAAATTAACAATAGGGCTAGGCGGGGCTGAAGCCCCGGGGCCCGAGCAAGGAGGGGGTTAGTGATTGGCTGCGAAGTAGATTGATTGGCCATCGGTAGCGCCGATCGCCAAAGCCCCACAATGCTCCCCCACGTATAAGCGCTATTATTTAGTGGAGGTTTTTCGTAAATTCCATGCATTACCATTAGAGATTGAAACGTCACGTTTAAATTTGGTTTACCAATCAAATTTATTTATTCTATATTTGACGTTTGAACGACCTGTGCACATATCTATCAGAAGATCACTGCACCTGATGTCCGCATTCACCTCCACTCTTCACATCGGTCTGGTGCAATCTGGAAGTGGTCGCAAAGAACAATCTTCGATAAGTAAAAATGTTAGCTATTCAAAAAAAAAATAAAAAAAATTAAGAGAGGAGCTCATAAAAGGAAAAATACTTCAAAGACAAACAACAGAAAAAACATGAGTTATTCAGTAAAATACCCAGCTATCAGGCTATTTTAGGCTGATGATGGAGTGGAAGTGGACCGGGCACATGGAGCAGACAAAAA